CTGTTGCTCTTATTTGAAAGATAAATAAAGCTTAGAGAAGTCAAATCCTTTTACTTTTATAACCTCTACCTGCAACCTGTAATAATGAGAAATTACATGGCTTAGTTGTTCTCTCTTAAAACAATTTTTGAAATTTTGGGGTATTGATTCTTGTTGAAGTGGTATCTTAGACCATTTTGTTCTTAAAGTATGATTTAGGTATATATTTATAATAATACAAAGTGTCATTAATGCATTTTCTCTGAAGTATGATGATGAATTTACAGTGATCCATCCACTTTCTCAAATAACTTAGTCCTAATACTTCTGATTGAAATGATCTACAAACAAATAAGATCCACAACCCTGTCAGTACAATGTCCCAAACACTTGTGTTAAGAATTTGTAATATGGGCCGGGCGCTGTGGCTCACGCCTGTAATCCTAGCTCTTGGGAGGCCGAGGCGGGCGGATTGCTCAAGGTCAGGAGTTCAAAACCAGCCTGAGCAAGAGCGAGACCCCGTCTCTACTATAAATAGAAAGAAATTAATTGGCCAACTGATATATATATAAAAAATTAGCCGGGCATGGTGGCGCATGCCTGTAGTCCCAGCTACTCAGGAGGCTGAGGCAGAAGGATCACTGGAGCCCAGGAGTTTGAGGTTGCTGTGAGCTAGGCTGACGCCACGGCACTCACTCTAGCCTGGACAACAAAGCGAGACTCTGTCTCAAAAAAAAAAAAAAAAAAAAAAAAAAAGAATTTGTAATATGTTAAGAACTATTAAGTGCTATTATGATTTGAAGGTCCTGAAATTTTTAGACTTTAACAATCTTGGTTGTTTTTTTTATAAGATAATATCAAAACCCATGAAACATCCTATAATCCATCTTTCACCCCACAGCAGTGTGACCTAAAGAGAATAATAAGGCCTAATCTGACCGACATTTCTGTTGTTACCAATCTCAGATCATATATATATATATAGATATAAAAAACAACAAATCATGACTAACCAGAACTCAGGAAATAAACTGGTTTTGCTTATCCTAATTTTCTATATATCTAAATGATAAATTATTTCAATTAGGGCAGTCCTGTTTTCTTAGAAAAGTATATATATAATTCACAATTCACTCTTTTTTGGTGAGTTACAGTCCTCATTATATACACCAATTACTCTGCTATACTAAAACATGCAAAGCTCTTTAGGATTATAGAGAAATTTGGCAGGGGATGGGGACAGGGGATGGGCATAGGGGATGTGTTTCTGGCCCTAAAACCAACAACCCTACAGTGTTGAATGCTCCCAGTCCCTTGTTTTCTAGCAGTCAAGGGTCATTTGCCAGCTGAGGCAAGCCTGCCTGATTATAGTAGCACCTCCTTTTGTTATTCATCTTTAGTTAGCATAAACATGATCACCATTTTACAATAGTCTATAAACTAAAGGCTGAAAGACCAAATGATGATATGAGAGGCTCTGCTCTATGACCTTAAGAGCACAAAGTATGTGACACATAGTTTGATAATCAGAGATTTTTGTTTCCTTCTTTATTCTGGAGTTAAAATTACTGTTAAATCAAACGAGAAACTGATGAAAGGTTATGCTTGCACAGAGCCACCAGCCCAGTAAAAGGAATGCTGCCCTTCGCCTGCAATATGAGTATTTTTTTACTTGAGTGTAAGATGCATGGGAACAGGTGGGTATGTGCATGGAAGAATGTGGGTTGAAAGTGTAGGCAGGGTCAATATAAAACCAGCGTTAAAGGTTTGAATTTGATGTTGCACACTGTTGTAAAGAAGGAGTCCCTTGAAGAGTTTAAGCTTAAAAATTGACATTTGTCATGATTTTTAAAATTCTCTCCAATTTCTTTTTTTTTAAAATTGCTTTTCAAATACAGGACATAAATCAATGAAAATTAAGTAAAAGCTACATGTCTCTCAATTCTCGCAATTTTAGAAAAACAATTCTTCAATTAAGAATCAGATTAAGCCAGGCATTGGTGGCACAGTGACCTGTAGTCCCAGCTACCTGGGGAGGCTGGAGGCAGTGAGGATGCTTGGCTCAGGAGTTTTCAGGTTGCTGTGAGCTAGGCTGAAGCCACAGCACTCTGAGCCCGGCACAGGAGTGAGGACTCTGCCTCAAGAAAAAAAAGAAAGGAAAGGGGAAAGAAAAGGGAAATGAGAGAAGGAAAGACCCAGGGAAGAGAAGGAAGGGGAAAGGAGGAAGGAAGGGAAGGGAAGGGAGGGAGGGAGGAGGAGTGAGGGAGAAATGAGGGAAGGTGAAGGGGAAAGGGAAAGGAAGAGAAAAGGGAAAAAAGGGAAGGGAAGAAGGGAAGTAGGAAGGGAGAAGGAAAGGAAAAAGGAAAAGGAAAGGAAAGGAAAGGAAAGGAAAGAAAAAGGAAAGAAAAGAAAGAAATCAGAGTACATAACATTGTAAATAAAAGGTCTTTTAGAACTGTAGGAAAAACTAAAATGTTGATGAAGAAGATAGAATTATCAAATTTAAATGCATGTTCTTCAAGTTACAAAGAAAATAATCTCATTTTGAAAGGCATAGCAGGGGATAAATCCACTATCAAAATTAATTTTTGAAATTATTTAATCTCGTCCAATTTCGGAGTGTGTTAGGTCGCAGCAATTAAAAATGTATTTCTAAAAATAAAATAGTTTCTAAGGTTAAAAACATCTGATCTTTGAGTTTTGAGTTCAGTGCTAGGAATCTCCTCTCTCCTCCTCTATATACTAGAGATGATATAAAAACAAAAGCTGCCTAAAAAAAAAAAAAAAAAAAAAAAAAGAATTTGTAATATGTTAAGAACTATTAAGTGCTATTATGATTTGAAGGTCCTGAAATTTTTAGACTTTAACAATCTTGGTTGTTTTTTTTATAAGATAATATCAAAACCCATGAAACATCCTATAATCCATCTTTCACCCCACAGCAGTGTGACCTAAAGAGAATAATAAGGCCTAATCTGACCAGACATTTCTGTTGTACCAATTCTCAGCTGCAAACAAATGACTATGGTATGCTTCAGAGTTAACATACGAAAAGAGGTGAGAAGTAGGAATAACAGAAATTTACAGCCCCCCTCCCACCTCTGGAAATATAGAAATTAACTGGAAGATAATGAAGAATATAAAAAAATTATTTTTTGATAGTTGAAAATATTTTTTCTTCAAATTTATAAAAGAGAGCCACTGAAATTATAGAATTTAAAATATAATTATCCTATTTCATATACTTAAGAAAAATTTATCAGCTAATAAAAAGACCAAATGGGTCAGTCTGTGTGTACACTTATAGAAGTGATTTAAGCTAAGCTTTCTAAAATACGCAAAAAAATTTGGCAAGGGAAAACACCAAATGACTACCTTTAAATGATGATCTGCCTGCATAAAAAAGCTGAAATGAAAACAAAACCAAAACCACAAGCTACACCAAAACAGCAGCTGTGTTTATGATTTTCTTTGTTGAATGGAGCTGTTACAGAACCACTGGGGCAACTATTTTATATAATAAATAACAACCCACAGAGTCTCATATATTCCCTAAATATTATTGAGAAAGAAATCTGCTATAGTAGACAGATCACTGATTTTATTTCTTATTCTACTATAGTATATTTATGGATAATTAACTATTAAATACTTAAACACTCTTTTTGTTAAAAGAACAAATGTGATCATAGCATTCAAACACTTGGAGATTCTGGATGGCAATGGTTGACATTATGGTAGTGCTATACAGAAGACAGAGGATAACTCTGATGGTTATTTGTTTTACTCACACCAGACCTTATTCTGCAAAAACCATTACCCCAGAGCTCACAGAGAAGTGTAGAAGAGGCAAATGGTGCTAACATTTATTATTTAGTACGTACCATGTACTTAGGTGGGCAGTAACTTTTTGGGGGTAGGTATAACCATTTTACACATGGGGAAACTGAGATCAGAGAAGTGAAGTTACTTGTCACCAGTAAATGGAATTTTGAATCCAGGTCTAGATAATTTTTTTTTTTTTTTTTTTTTGAGAGAGTCTTGCTATGTTGCTGGGCTAGAGTGCCGTGGTGTCAGCTAACTTCATAGCAACCTCAAACTCCTCAGCTTAAGTGATCCTCCTGACTCAGCTTCTGGAGTAGCTAGGACTACAGGCACGTACCACCACGCCTGGCTAATTTTTTTCTCTTTTTAGTTTAAGACGGGGTCTACCTCTTGCTCAGGCTGGTCTTGAACTCCTGACCTCAAGCAATTCTCCCGCCTTGGCCTCCCAGAGTCCTAGGACTATAGGCATGAGCCACCGTGCCTGGCCTAGATGATTTTTTCAGCCCTTACTTTGACCATGCTGCTATCTGGACTTCAGTTATGGTTAGGCAATATTCACTGGTGGTGAATACACTAGATTCAAATGCTAGCTCCCTTAGTTAATAGTTATGTGGCCTTGGGCAGTTTAGTTCAGTTCACTCAACCTCATTTTCTACCCTTATTTGTTAAATTGGGATAATAGTGTCTACTTCGCTGGATTGTTGTGAAGATTAAATGAGGTAATATATGAAAAATACATGAGCAAAAAGAGGTCAGCACACAGTAAGCACTCAATAAATGGTAAATAGTTATTAATAGATTTGTGAAATATTACCAACATCACCTCTTTAAACTATTAGAAATTATCTAGAGATGGCACCAGATGGGGATAGGAAAAAGGGATTTTGTTTCTTTTACTCAGAAGTCAAGTACACAAGGAGTCCATAAAACAGTGCCAGTTTCAAGTGCTAATAATGCTTGAAGGCAGCATGGATAATGCAAGGCTCACACACAGGCCTAGAATAATAAGGGGTTCAGATGCTCGTGCTTTCTCAGCTGCTTCCAGTTCCCCAGATTTCTCAGATTCCTATTTAAATGGTATAGCTATCTACAGCTTAGGTGTGAGGAATCCCTTGCTAGCTCTCCTGTCAACCCCTCCCCCTTCCCTGTTTTCAGAATTACCTGCTTAATGTCAGGCTCCAGGCTAAGCATGGTAGGAAAACAAAGGTAAGTAAGATGCTTCCTTTCTGTTGTGGAGGGACTCAGTTTATTGGGGAAACAACTTTAACAATGTTATAATTGTTACAAGACGGAATATGGAAAAGCCTGAGGAGGTTAAAGGAAGGCTTCAGAGAGGTAAAGTTTCAGTAGAATATTATAGATTAGTAGGAATTTCAAAGAGAACTGATGAAAGGGTTATGCGTGCATAAAGCACAGACCATAAAGAATGCTGCCCGTTCCCTGCAATATGAGCTATTTTTATTACTTGAGTGTAAAGTGCATGGGAACAGGTGGGGTATGTGACATGGAAGGAAGGGGTGAAAGGTAGGCAGGGGTCAGATAATAAAACCACGTTAAAGAGTTTGAATTTTATGTTGCACACTGTTAGTAAAAAGGAGTCCCTGAAGGAGTTTAAGCTAAAAAATGACATTTTTCATGATTTTAAAAATTCTCTCATATTTCTTTTTTTTAAAAAATTGCTTTTCAAATACAGGACATAATCAAATGAAAATTAAAGTGTAAAAACTACATGTTCTCAATTCTCAGAATTTAGAAAAAAATCTCTAACATTAAGAAATCAGATAGCCGGGCATGGTGGCACATGCCTGTAGTCCCAGCTACCTGCGAGGCTGAGGCAGGAGGATTGCTTGAGCTCAGGAGTTTCAGGTTGCTGTGAGCTAGGCTGAAGCCACAGCACTCTAGCCCCGGCAACAGAGTGAGACTCTGCCTCAAGAAAAAAAAGAAGGAAAGGAAAGGGGAAAGGAAAGGGGAAAGGAAAGAGGAAAGGAAAGAGGAAAGGAAAGAGGAAGGGAAGGGAAGGGAAGAAGGGAAGAAGGAAGGAAGGAAGGGAAGGGAAGGGAAGGGAAGGGAAGGGAAGGAAGGGAAGAGGAAAGGAAGGGAGGAGGGAAAGGAGGGAAGGAAAGGAAAGGAAAGAAAGGAAAGGAAGAAGGAAAAGGAAAGGAAAAGGAAAGGAAAGGAAAAGGAAGGAAGGAAAAGGAAAGGAAAGGAAAAGGAAAGAAAAGGAAAAGGAAGGAAAAGGAAAGGAAAAGGAAAGGGAAAGGGAAGGAAGGGAAGGAGGAAGAAAGGGAAGAGAAAGGGAAAAAGGAAAAGAAAGGAAGAAGAGGAAGGAAAGGAAAGGAAAAGGAAACAAAGAAAGAAATCAGAGTACATAACATTGTAAATAAAAGGTCTTTTAGACTGTAGGAAAAACTAAATGTTGATGAAGAAGATAGAATTATCAAATTTAAATGCATGTTCTTCTATTTACAAAGAAAAATAACTCATTTGAAAAGCAATAGCAGGGGATAAATCACTATAAAATTAATTTTTGAAATACTAATCTCTCCAATTTGGAGGTGTTAGGTCGCAGAATTAAAAATGTATTTACTAAAAATAAAATAGTTTAAGGTTTAAAAAACTACTCTATTGAAGTTTTGAGTTCAGAATGCTAGGAATCTCTCTCTCTCTCTCTCTATATATATATAGATATAAAAAACAACAAATCATGACTAACCAGAACTCAGGAAATAAACTGGTTTTGCTTATCCTAATTTTCTATATATCTAAATGATAAATTATTTCAATTAGGGCAGTCCTGTTTTCTTAGAAAAGTATATATATAATTCACAATTCACTCTTTTTTGGTGAGTTACAGTCCTCATTATATACACCAATTACTCTGCTATACTAAAACATGCAAAGCTCTTTAGGATTATAGAGAAATTTGGCAGGGGATGGGGACAGGGGATGGGCATAGGGGATGTGTTTCTGGCCCTAAAACCAACAACCCTACAGTGTTGAATGCTCCCAGTCCCTTGTTTTCTAGCAGTCAAGGGTCATTTGCCAGCTGAGGCAAGCCTGCCTGATTATAGTAGCACCTCCTTTTGTTATTCATCTTTAGTTAGCATAAACATGATCACCATTTTACAATAGTCTATAAACTAAAGGCTGAAAGACCAAATGATGATATGAGAGGCTCTGCTCTATGACCTTAAGAGCACAAAGTATGTGACACATAGTTTGATAATCAGAGATTTTTGTTTCCTTCTTTATTCTGGAGTTAAAATTACTGTTAAAAATTATCATGTTTAGGC